GTCCTAATGTCCTTAGCATAAAGATATTTGTTTAATATTTGATTTCATTATAGATATGATGTTTTCTTATTCTAGCAACCCTTCGGTTTAGTAAGTCACGAAAAGAAATCAATCAATGAACTTCAAAATTTGGGAAGGGACATATTCTAAACATGTAAAAACTTAAGCAGTCGAAATGTATGCTTCCTGAAACCGGAAATCGTATAATCAGAGACGGATGTACTTCGAACATTGTTACCAAGTTATCTAGCGCCAGATCTGTTGTCACCGGAAGTGACAGAACGGAAAGTGCTCTAACTCTGAAGTGTGTAGAAGTTGGCTGTTGACAGCAGCACTCGTTTTTTACCAAAAGCATTTGTTTTTGTATGCCATCATTTTTCATTTCTAGGAGGGGATTATGGGGCGGTAAAAACAATTCTCTTTTAAGCAGTTTGAAGCATAATTACTTTTTTCAAGCAATTTCTGACACGATATATTGTTTTCGAGAATAGCGAAGAGGTGACAGTTTTCGCTCGTCACACCGAAGGTCCGCGTTCGTTTCCCACATACAATGGAGTCCACTGCCGTGATGTTGCTTGATTGTTACTAAAAGCGGCGTAAAACCCTTACTTACAATATATCTTTCAATCACTTCATTGTAAACATAGTTTGGAAACCTACGCCAACAAATATATAATTCGAAAAAGCATGGTATGACTTTGATTCACCATTTGATTCACATAATGGCCCAACGCTCAGTCTAGGTACAATTCACTGTCGCCTGCTCGAGGCCGGATCCGCTGATCGTAGGGTTGGTTTGATTCTTGCTTGTTGATTCTTGGTTTGTCTGCACCAAACACCTCCTCGTTGGTTTTACTAGCAGTAAATGTCTATCACATCCGTCAGACCGAGAAACTACAAGGATTCACAAAGAGCGAGTACCTAATATCTTCATTTTGTTAGAATTGATCTTCAGTAACCCATACTTTTGTCGTAAGAGGCAACTAACGGGATCGGGTGGTCAGACTAACTCACTCACTCACATATCATCGTATCCCAATTGCGTAGATCGATACTCGATCGTGTTGTTGATCAATGGATTGTCTGGTCCAGACCACCGCCATATAGGTGTTATATTGCTGACTGCTGCGTAAAACTAAACTCACTCACTCGCTTCATTTTGTATTGTTTATTTGATTGTTTAACTCTACACTGGATGACGGTATTCTCGATTATTGGCAACAATGTGTTCATATGACGCCACGTTGCTATTGGCCTCTTCGCAAACAACGGCAAATGAATGGTACAGAATAACTACCAATCAGCAAAAATGTAATGATCAGTTAAACTTGTTCCGATTTGTCAGTTGTGACAGTGATTGACCGACCGCCCTTGTGATGTCCATGGACAGGTTTCAGTTTTTGTTTTCATGATTATAAAAAAGGTCGAAGCCATCGTTAATGCGGCACATATGGGTTACCATAATTCCACACACTTAATTCAGCTGACAGACTAGAATGAGACAACAACAAAAAAATCATTCAATATTTCGATAAAGGATAACACACACACACACACACACACACACACACACACACACACACATATGTGGCTTATTTGTAACAACCGAGTCAGTTTATTTTCTTCAAGTCACGACACCTGTAACGTCTTTGTCTATCCGTATCTGCGTCAGAAAAGACCAGGGTCACGTTCCTCAAAGCGATCGTAGCGCTACGACAGTCGTAAGTCTATGTTAAAGTATGGGAGTTACGATCACCCTAGCGCTACGATCGCTTTCAGGAACGGGGCCCTGTTCTGAAAGAAACCAATTGTGTTTGCGGTAAACGAAATGTTTCAAACGTATAGCATCTGTCGATAGTAATTACGGAATTTGAGAAGTTCTTTATTTTGTGTGGTTATCTAAGGGGGTATTTCGGAGACAATAGAGTTGCAAAATCTATAAACATCACTGAAATAGAGCATTGTGTGGATGAAACACTGCATTACTCAAGAAAGCGTAGTCAAAAGCGACAGAGCGGGGACATAACTTGCGATGAAAGGCCCCTGGGGACACACATCGTGTTATTGATGGGGATGTAAACATATGTCTGCCATACTTAACTTCAAATGATATTAACAGTGTGTTGTATGTGTGTGGTATAAGAAACGCATACATCATCTGTAAGACTGACTGACTGACTGAGTTTGGTTTTACGCCGCTTTTAGCAATATTCCAGCAACATCACGGCGGGGACACCAGAAATGGGCTTCACACATTGTACCCATGTGGGGAATCGAACCCGGGTCTTCGGCGTGACGAGCCAACGCTTTAACCATTACGCTACCCCACCGCCCCGATCTGTAAGAGCGTTCAAATAAGATCAACATGTTATTGAGACAGTGCCTTTGGATGCTTTACCATGACCGGTCGTGTTTGTTTAACGCTGCACTATTTCAGCAATATGACGGCAGCTTGTAATCATATAGACCAGGCCATCCAATGATCGATATTATGAACAATGATCTATTGGTGCACTAACACAAGCTGGGGTCCAAGTCACATAGCCTGACCACCCGGTTCAGTTAGCATATATTGCTGACGGACTTTCTAACCTCGACGTAGGAGGCGACTTACGGGATCGGGTGGTCAGGCTCGCTGATTTGGTTTACACATGTCATCGTATCCCAATTGCGTAGATCGATGCCTACGTTGTTGATCACTGGATTGGCTGGTCCAGACTCGATTATTTACAGCGATTATTTATAGCTGGAACACTGCTGAGACAACAAAGCAACAAAGACACGACCAATCAGGAAACACGTTGTAACCAAAGACCCTAAATTAGTAATTCCCGCAATAAAGCTGGAATGTTGCTGAGTGCACCACAGGGTGACCTGTAACGGTTGTAAGGGACCCATTCTAAACCGGAAACCCCTAGGGTAGACCAGCATGGGTTGCTGTTGATCTATTCTAAACCGGAAACCCCTAGGGTAGACCAGCATGGGTTGCTGTTGACCTATTCTAAACCGGAAACCCCTAGGGTAGACCAGCATGGGTTGCTGTTGACCTAGCATAGGGTTGCATGTTGACCTATTCTAAACCGGAAACACCTAGGGTAGACCAGCATGGGTTGCTGTTGACCTATTCTAAACTGGAAACCCATAGGGTAGACCAGCATGGGTTGCTGTTGACCTATTCTAAACTGGAAACCCCTAGGGTAGACCAGCACCGGTTGCTAAGGGAAATAAAGTAGTCTAAACCGGAAACCCTTATTGTAGACCAGCACAGGTTGCTTGGGCCTATTCTAAACTGGAAATCCAACGGGGGTAGACCAGCACAAGTTACTAAGGGAAAGTATTCTAACGCGGAATCCACAGGGTAGACCAGCATAGGCTGTCGGGAACCTGTTATAAACCGGAAAGTGAGTGAGTGAGTTTGTTTTTACGCCGCCTTTAGCAATATTTAAGCAATATCAGGTACGGCGGGGGACACCAGAAATGGGCTTCGCACATTGTGCCCATGTGCCCCGGAATCGAACCCCGATCTTAAGTGTAACGAGCGTACCGCCTTAACCACTAGGCTACCCCACCCCTCGGGTAGACCTGCACAGGTTGGTGGGGACCTTTCCTAACTCGGAGCCCATACGGGTGGACCAGCACAGGCTGCTGAGGACCTTCTCTAACCCGGAGCCCATACGGGTAGACCAGCACAGGTTGTTGAGGACCTTCTCTGACCCGGAGCCCATACGGGTGGACCAGCACAGGTTGTTGAGGACCTTCTCTGACCCGGAGCCCATACGGGTAGACCAGCACAGGCTGCTGAGGACCTTCTCTGACCCGGAGCCCATACGGGTAGATCAGCACAGGTTGTTGGGGACCTTCTCTAACCCGGAGCCCATACGGGTAGACCAGCACAGGTTGTTGAGGACTTTCTCTGACCCGGGTAGCCCATACGGGTAGACCAGCCCGGACCCAGGGTTGTGTGTAGGACCTTCTCTGACCCGGAGCCCATACGGGTAGACCAGCACAGGTTGGTGGGGAAATTTTCTGACCCAGAGCCCATACGGGTGGACCAGCACAGGCTGCTGAGGACCTTCTCTAACCCGGAGCCCATACGGGTGGACCAACACAGGCTGCTGAGGACCTTCTCTGACCCGGAGCCCATACGGGTGGACCAGCACAGGTTGTTGAGGACCTTCTCTAACCCGGAGCCCATACGGGTAGACCAGCACAGGTTGTTGAGGACTTTCTCTGACCCGGAGCCCATACGGGTGGACCAGCACAGGTTGTTGAGGGACCTTCTCTGACCCGGAGCCCATACGGATGGACCAACACAGGCTGCTGAGGACCTTCTCTGACCCAGGAGCCCATACGGGTGGACCAGCACAGGTTGTTGAGGACCTTCTCTAACCCGGAGCCCAATACGGGTAGACCAGCACAGGTTGTTGAGGACTTTCTCTGACCCGGAGCCCATACGGGTGGACCAGCACAGGTTGCTGAGGACCTTCTCTGACCCGGAGCCCATACGGGTAGACCAGCACAGGCTGCTGAGGACCTTCTCTGACCCGGAGCCCATACGGGTAGATCAGCACAGGTTACTGAGGACCTTCTCTGACCCGGAGTCCATACGGGTAGATCAGCACAGGTTGGGGCAACCTTTCTAACCTAACCTTGAATCCCAACGTGGGTAACACAACCAGACTCATTTGAGAGTATGAGTCAGCATCATGCAGAAAAACTAGTGGTGGATAGCATGATCAGATTCTCGGGTAGTCACGGTGATGGCTATTCGAAACGTCACTGATGCCCATTTACTCCGTCACAATCTGGCAGTCTTGAACTGCGAAATCTGGGCTTATACGATACAAAAGCACAATGCAAAATATACTGTATATATTCATTACATTCCCCCTATACCTTGTCTTTAAAATATTTCATCTAAAAACTTCAACTATGTTCACAGCGAAATATAACACTCTTCAAGTTTTCCATGACTATCAAACAAAAAGTGGACTCAAGGGTAATGCTTAATTTACTTTACTAAAACGTTTGCAAATAATTCAAAAGTTCTTTTCAAAGTGATCAAATGTGGTACACATATAGATGAAATATCATCTGAATGCATGGCACACAAACCGTTTATCGAATACCGTATTTCTTCTGTTAAGAGACCTCGATGTTGCTGGGGCCCTATACTAACCCGGAAATCCCATAGGGTGACCAGTTGTTTTAGCAGGGGACCTATACTAACCCAGAAATCCCATGGTTTAACCTCACTGTGCCTGCACCCTGTATGTTGTTACAAGGGAATAAAGGCCACAGCTCACTGCATTTCTGGTTATAGCCTGTTTAATTAAAGTTGGCATGTGCCGGTGAACTGTTCTCACAGAGTGAACACTGTTTAATTAATTTCAAATTATGATGGCTACCCGATGGATGAACACTTTAAAAGAATGTCATTGATTAAAATCATATGTTTATAAGTGAGTAGTTTTAGCCTCTGTCCCGCCTCTCATCCATCCACGTGACATAGACGACATCTGGTTGAATGCCCTTGAGAATGTTGACCTTGAAGATGCTGGGATTGTGAAATTCACTAACTACGTGGAACCGAACAGTGGGTCGAAGCGGATGGGCGTAGTATTTGGAACCACTTTCATACAGTTGGTTCCAGGACCACCAACCACCTGGAAGGTTGGCACTCGAAGCTAAACAAGTTAGGTATAGTTCTCTATACACCTTTTGTATTATAACATTTCCCCCTGTTATCTTTCAGTCTTTCTCTGTCTCTAATAATTGCTTGTGATGTAATTAGTTATTGTAAATATCTTTGGAGAGGGGTTTAAGTTGTTTTAGTTGGGGACCTATTCTAACTCGGAAATCCCATAGGGTGAGCCACAGGGCCACAATATGGGATTTCCGGGTTAGAATAGGTCCCAAGAAACACCAGCTGGTCACCTTATGGGATTTTTCGGGTTAGAATAGGTCCCCAGCAGCCTGTGCTGGTCTACCCATTTAGAAAGTTCCTCAACAACCCTTTCAAGTCACCCCGTGGTGATTTGAGGTTAGAAAGTCCGTCAGCAATATATGCTAACTGAACCGGGTGGTCAGGCTATGTGACTTGGACCCTAGCTTGTGCTAGTGCACCAATGGATCATTGTTCAATATATCGATCATTGGATGGCCAGGGCCCCGTTCCTCAAAGCGATCGTAGCGCTAAAATGATCGTAACTCCCATACCTTAACATTGACTTACGACTGTCGTAGCACTGCGATCGCTTTGAGGAACGGGGCCCTGGTCTGTATGATGAAATATTGCTGGGTGCAGCGTTAAACAAACAAGACCGTTCGTGGTAAAGCATTCAAAGGCACTGTCTCACTGGGGACGTATTCTAACCCGGAAATCCCATAGGGGTGGCTAGCACTGGTTGGCGGAAACCGTTTCCATCCTAACCTGGGTGAGTGAGTGAGTTTGGTTTTACGCCGCTATTAGTAATATTCCAGCAATATCACAGCGGGGGACACCAGAAATGGGCTTCACACATTGTACCCATGTGGGGAATCGAACCCGGGTCTTCGGCGTGACGAGCCAACGCTTTAAACACTAGGCTACCCCACTCCTAACATGGAATCTAGAGAGCGTTTGGGTTGTTTCCCTGCAAACTTTATTGCAAGACTCGTCCATTTATGGAGCGTGGCTCTTTAAAGAGGAAACATGGTAAATTCGAATAACTGGTAAAACTAGATCCGTGGAAAGTTTGAAAATAAACCATTTACTGAAATATGCATGGAAATGAAATAAACCCCTTGCGGTTGCCATAAATGACTTTAATGTCAATATCACACATTTCAAGGCATTACATCTTATCAGCATTCCGTCATAACGACACCAGTAAATGCCAAACCAATAAATAAACCGTTCCTCAGAGTAACTTTATTAAAGAAGTGATAAAATAAATGACGCTGTGTCGTTTGATGCTGAACAGTGATCTGTGCTGGCATGTTGGGCCGTCAGTATTCCCATGGCAACGCTACGCCACGACTGCTTTAACGTTGTAAATATGTGCGGAACAAACGTCGGTTATTGTTGATTTGATCACTTGTAAATTATATTTAGTGTTACAACAATTATTGGCTGCACAGTTTCGTGATTGAAAACACCATGGAAAAACACTGTTTGCTCATATAATGGTTAATAGGGTTTAGTATCTCTCTCGGTTAAGTAATGAATACATCCTTTATCTGCTTCTTGCCAGTTAATTCATTCTGACACTTTATAGCGGTGGCTTGGTGGCTCACTTCTTTCTGAAGTCACCTCGACGTCCGGTTTGGCGGTGTAAGGGAGATAACTCTTGTCGCGCTGTTTCCTCATGCAAAATCCCTGTTGATGTGATTGATAATATTGCGCATATTGCTTGGATCGTGGAGATAAAAATGGCCACCGGGCATCATGGTCAGCGTGAATAGTCCAGTGGTCAAACGTCTCCAAGCTGTAATAAAATATATTTGTATTAGGGCGAATTATTTCCGTAATTTTAATTGAAAGTCAGTTCGCTAGTACATATGGTTTTACGCCGCTCTTTGCAATATTCCAGCACAATCATGGTAGGCAACACCAGTTAGGGGCTTCACACATTGTATCCGACTGGTCAACGAACCCGAGTGTGAAGGCTTGTACCACTTGGCTGCCACACTGTCCAAAATGAGTGACCAGAATATGGCGCCCAGAAACGACCACATGTTCCCGATACAACAAAGGGACACAATCTGCACATCAACAATGTGGTCTTAGGCAACCGTGCCTCCCCCCCCCCCCCCTTCCCCGCCCTACCCACTGAAGACCATTGAAGACCTTGATTAAAATACGAAAAACCTGTCACTCTTGACAGTTTCCAGGTATGTGTAAATTGTGTTCTCTCATGACACACAATCAGATTATACCCTGTGTACAACTTACTGACAGTAGCCAATCTAGTATCAGACACAACATGAACAGCATATAATGTAAAACCAATTTAAAAACAAGATATAATGCTTGCCTTCTGTGTCGTGTTTGGCATCGTCTTTCCCATCAAAGAATGAAATGGGACAGGTAAAAGGTGGTGGGCCATCGCTGGGGGTGAAGCTGGAAAATAGTTCACAGTTTATCTGTTGACGTCTAACATCCTTATCACACTGAACAATTCATTGGGAGGTGTGTATTGGTCCGTCTCAATTAGTTATGAGAATTTACATTTGAAGGTATATATTTTTGTTAGGGACCGTTCATAATTCATGGCTTTTTTTTGGGGTTGGGGTGTTTTTTATGATGATTTTAAGGGTGGAGTCACCCATTTTGTTCTGCGGAGGTAGTGAGAGTCAGCAATTTTGTACATGTGTACTAGGGGGATCAGCAGTTTTGTACATAAAAATATTTAAACATTATGCTTAAATATTATGGGGAGGAGGCGTGGGGTGGGGGTCATTAATTTTGTACATGACATGCAAGGGGGTCACTTACTTTGTACATAAAGTTTAGGGGGGTCATTCACATTGTACATGCTTCTCCATAAAAATCATCATCTTACTAACAATTTCATTAGTAGGAGTAAATTGAGCTTCTCTCCTGAACAATTAATCTGTACGGGGGTACCATCTTTATCTCATTATCTAAATGAAACAATTTACGGACCGCCTCCGTGATGTAGTGGTTAGAGCGCCCGCCCGGAGAGCGGAAGGTCGCGGGTTCGATCCCCGACCGCGCCATACCAAAAGACGTTAAAATGGTACTTGTTGGTCAATGGTTGCTCGGCATTAATGAGTACAACAAGGACTGGTCGGCTCTGAGTCAGTATAATGTGTCTGAGTGGGTTATTCATGCTTCACTGCGGCATGATATCTCAGTGGGCTAGCACTATAAAACCAGCTTCAGCCTGGGCTAGTACAAGCAGCCGCACATACACATACACACGCATGCACGTAGTCATATGAGCGAAATATTCTTCAGTGCGACGTTAAACCCCATTTCACCTCATCTCGCCTGAACAATTCGCTTGTAGGTGTATATTGTCTTTCTCTCACGGAACAATTCATCAGATGGAGTTAATTGTATATACATGTATCCCACTGAACAGTATCGGTCAAATACAGAATGTTTTTAAAGCCTAGTGGTCAGTCTTTGTCTTGGTTAGCATATAACCTCTTATTGAACACATCTCTAACAGGCATTTATATTGTATCTTATGATATATAATAAGTTAATGAGAAAGCTTTTAGCAATATTCTATCAATATCAGTGGGGGACCACTAGAAATGGGCTTCACACATTGTACCCATGTCGGGAATCGAACCAGTCTTTGAAGTGATGAGCGAAGGCATTAACCACAAGGCCAATCTTACGAGTACATGTACAATATATTATCTGTATTATATTTTTAACAAACTAAAGTCATCAGAAGATGACAAATCCTCCCGGCCCCCATAAATTTGAAAAAACAAATCAACTGACAGTTACCTAAAGTCCAACTTGATTTTTTTAGGACTAAGTCCAAATCGTTTTCATGGAAATCAGGAAAAATAAAATGCCAAAAATCTGCAAACAGCAAAAAGCAATACTTCAAGATCTGTTTGATATATCTGGCAAGTCTTGTAGAAACATATTGAACGATTTTTGAGTTGTGATCCGGAAACGAAACCCACCCCTCCCTTTTAAGACTAAGTTCAAAACGTTTCCATGGAAACCAAGAAAAATAAAAATGCCAAAATTCTGTAAATAGCAAAAGGCACCACTTTAGGTTATGTTTGATATATCTACCAAGTCTTGAAGAAATATATGCATCGGTTATTCAGTTATGTTCCGGAAACGAAACCCACCCCTCCCTTTTGAGACTACGTCCAAATCGTTTCCATGGAACCCGAGAAAAATAAAAATGCCATAAATCTTGTTTGAAATAGCAAAAGGCACCAAACAAAGGTTTTAGAGATTAAAGTTCAACTTTTCCATGTTCTGTCTGTAAATAGCAAATGGCACCTCTTTAGGTTCTGTTTGATATAAAATTTTTGCTGAAAAATATTGATTGGCCAAACGAAGGCCACCCTTTTAAGACTGTCTGAATCGTTCCATGAAACGGGAATCTTCAAATGGCAAAAGGCACCACTTTACCTTCTTGAAGACTTTAAGTTCATGCTTACAAAAATCTGTAAATAGCAAATGGCACCTCTTTAGGTTCTGTTTGATATAACTACCAATTTTGCTGAAAAATATTGATTGGCTTTCGAGTTGTGTTCCGGAAACGAAGGCCACCCTCCCTTTTAAGACTAAGTCTGAATCGTTTCCATGGAACCGGGAAAAATAAAAAGGCCAAAAATCTTCAAATAGCAAAAGGCACCACTTTAGCTTATGTTTGATATATCTACCAAGTCTTGAAGAAAGATATTGATCGGTTTTCAAGTTGTGCTTCGGAAACAAAGGTCACCCCTACCTTTGGAGATTAAGTTCAACTCATTTCCATGGAAACCAAGAAAAACAAATTACAAAAATCTGTAAATAGCAAATGGCACCTCTTTAGGTTCTGTTTGATATAACTACCAATTTTTGCTGAAAAATATTGATTGGCTTTCGAGTTGTGCTCCGGAAACGAAGGCCACCTCTCCCTTTTAAGACTAAGTCCGAATCGTTTCCATGGAAACCGAAAAAATTAAAAAGGCCAAAAATCTGCAAATAGCAAAAGGCCCCAGTTTGGTATCTGCCACACATATCTGCCAAGTTTTGCTGAAAGATATTAAGAGGTTTCCGAGTTGTGCTCCGCAAACCAAGTCCACTCCTCCCTTTTGAGACAAAGTCCGAATCGTTTCCATGGAAACCGAGAAAATAATAAATCACAAAAGTCTGTAAATAGCAAAAGGCACCACTTTAGGTGCTGTTTGATATTATCTACCAAGTTTTGCAGAAAAATATTGAACGGTTTTTAAGTTATGCTCCGGAAACATAATGATTACGGACGGACGGACGAGGTGTCGACTCTATCCCCCCGCATTACATGCCGGGGGGATAAAAAGCATCATGAAATAATTATCTTGTCAGTGTATGAATGTCAACACTTACTGAAATTTGTCTAACATTGTATTATCTGACCGTAAAGTTGGTAAAATTAACTTCATGATTTCTTCATTCTCCAGCACTTCCTTGGGTGTTCCACCTGATGAAAGTACACACAACATTTACATAACAAGGAAACATTGTACCAGCAAAGCACAGTTTACCCAGCACAACAGAACAATGTTTATAACTTGATGCTGCAAGTATCTTTAGCAATGTAAAACACTTTAACCAAACCAGCTGTAAGTGGTAAGGGGGGTAACTCTTACAAATTAAATTTTACTCCAGTAAGACTGACTGACTGACTGAGTTTAGTTTTACGCCGCTTTTAGCAATATTCCAGCAATATGGTTTCTGGGCTTACAATCTTACCAATATTGCTTACCATATAGCATCCTAACACATTGTTTGATTCTGTTTTAAGGGAATACTGACCTAAGCTACCCAGCGCCTCGATGAACTGTTGGTCCGTTGCGTTATGGTCAATGTTTAACCTCTGCCTCGTGGGAGACTGTCGGGAAGAATACAACTTTAAAAAATGCACATCTTTAAGACAACATGATTTATCACATAACTGTAAAAGAGTGAGTGAGTGGGTGGGTGTTTGGGTGAGTGAGTGAGTGGTTGAGTGAGTGAGTGAGTGGGTATTTGGTGAGTGAGTGAGTGGGTGGGTGGCTTTACCACTTTTCCTGGAATTACATGCATATGTAAGACAGCATGATTTATCACATAAATGTAAAAGAGTGAGTGAGTGGGTGAGTGAGTGAGTGGGTGGGTGTTTGGATGAGTGAGTGGTTGAGTATTCGGTGAGTGAGTGAGTGAGTGAGTGGGTATTTGGTGAGTGAGTGAGTGGGTGGCTTTACCACTTTTCCTTGAATTACATGCATATGTAAGACAGCGTGAGCTACCACTTCCCTTCAACGTGAGTGAGTGAGTGAGTGACTGAGTAGGTGGTTTCTAGCTATTGTATAAGGGGAACTAGAAATGGGCTACCCAAGTGGGGAATCAACCCCAAGCAAACACTTCAACTACATGGCTACTCCACCACCACATTAATTCATAAATCTATACCAGTGGTATAATAAGGGCGGTGGGGTAGCCCAGTGGTTAAAGCGTTGGCTCGTCACACCCAAGACCCGGGTTCGAATCCCACATGGGTACAATGTGTGAAGCCCATTTCAGTGTCCCCCGCCGTGATGTTACTGGAATATTGCTAAAAGCGGCGTAAAACCAAACTCAGTCAGTCAGTCAGTGGTATATTGTTAACATTCAAGATCCTTGAATGGATTTACCTAGTATTTGTTAGGTCACCTAACAGAATATTTTTGTTTCTCGTCGCTTTTTCAAAACAAACAAATGGGTTGGGCAGGTAGAGTTTATTTTTGCATTTTATTTTATGTCCCAAACCCCTTGATGTCTGAGGGAGATTTACCTTTCACCGATAGAAAATCAAAACTTAGAGGTGTAAAAAAAGTTGCATTTTCTCAGGGTCGGGTTGATTTTTTTAGTCGGGCGGTAATGAGAAACAATAATATTTCTATTTATGGCCTCACTGCATTTTATCCTGGTTTTTATTTGTTGTTTAAAGCTGCATTCAGCACTATTCCAGCTATATGAGGCTGAGCCTCCTTTCACGAAGCGCTACGGTGATCGTAAGTCACTAAGGTAACCTTGGTGCAGTGTTAAAGAATGGGAGTTAAGGTTAACCTTAGTAAAGGTTGCTTCGTGAAAGGAGTCCCAGGTCTTTGAATAATCTAGGCTGACCAGACAATCCAGAGATTGACATCATGAGCATCAATCTTTGAAGGGGGACGTGATGTCATACATAAAGCAAGTTAGGTAATCTGGCAGCCTGAAACCGTGGGTCGCTTCTTACAACAGGCATGGGTTTCTGTGAACCAGTTCAAACATTGAGACCTTTCCCTGCGTGTGTAAACATGATAAATCTTACATGTGGTGCTGATATTCCAGACAGGTACATCTTCATTGGTTCCTGTCCGGTCTGGGATTTTAGTCGACATGCCAGCTCATATGCCAACAGGCTGCCCATGCTGCCATGAAATCACAGGAAGTTCTATTAGTGGTGGTCCGATTAATTGAAATAGTGATTGGTCGCAGTGACTAAACGACCAAGCAATTGATCATGTTTTCTCATAATTGAACACCAACAATTTTGGAATATTTCTTGGCATTAACAATATTTTTCACAAGGTTGGTTTTGTCTTTCATTAAATTTACATTTCTTTAGCACTACAAGCTCGTTCCAAATCATGATTGAACGTATCCTAAAGACTCCAGGAAATTTATGTCCCTAACCTACTAGTCAACATCTACAAATGCATTTTGTGCAATTTGAAAAAAAAAATTAGTTTTTGTGTACATATTTTGTCCTATTTTTTGTTGTTGTTTTTCTTTAACAACCATAACAGGGAAATTTGATAAATGACGCTAACCAATTATTTTCGATGATTGATCAGTTGTAATGAACCAATCATCAATTATGAGATTTTAACCGATTTTAACTACATTCTATGATGTGAAATGTTCAGTGGCAAAGATTTGTGTAAAATACGGCTTCTCTTGACCCAACAGCATCTTCAATTGTCCTCAATAGGTTTATATATACCAGGCGCCATTAATAAATGCTCAAATATTATATAACACACGTAAAGAAAGGTTTCTCTGAAATAATAGAACTAAAGCGGCCTTCACGCGGCAAACTAAAGTTTAACAACACATGTTGTCAACCTCGAGTTTAAGAGTGTGAACATTCCAACAACTCGCCACCAACACCAATTTCAGAGTTGTCAAACTGTTTCTCATCAAATTTTCCATCAAACTTTCGGTGTTGTCAAACTCGAGTTTGACGTGTGAAGTGTTATCAAACTCGTATTGTTCAGATACAACCAATCGCAGTCAACGAAATTGTCACATGACCGCACCGATAGAGCTGAAATGACACGCAAGTTTGATAACATGTGTTTGACGTGTGAAAACGCGAGTTTGACAACTTTCATACTTTTAACAACATGTGTTGTCAGACTTTAGTTTGCCGTGTGAACGCCGCTTAAGAGTGTCATCATCATGTTTACTGTGTTGACAACGTGACACATCGTGACATACAGACAAAAAAGTTCAAACAGCACTAGCAAACATCAGTTGTATAGACCAACCCCCAAAATGAAAATGACAAACATGAAGTACTCGGTCATTCAATATATTGTGTTCCCTCCCCGTACGTCCAAGATACAGGTGCACCTTGTTCTCACGCTACTTATCACGTTCATACAGAAAGCTTGCGGAATCCATTCCTCTACTAGAGCTCTGCGGAGTCCTGGGAGATCCATTGGCGCTGGGTGACGTGTGTACACACGTCGACCGAGTTCATCCCAGGCATGCTCAACTGGGTCGAGGTCTGGTGAGCATGCTGGACACTCCATCCGCTCCTCAACCTGCTGCCTAAGGAACTCCGTGACAATTCTAGCCATATGAGGCCTTGCGTTGTCGTCTTGCAGGAAAGAGGGTCGGCCATAAAAGCCATGCATAGCTTGCAGGAATGGTACTGCTATAGGAGCCAGAATCTCGTCCCGATAACGCTGTCCGGTAAGATTACCGTCGACCACGTGCAGTGGAGTACGTCCGGTAGGAGTTATCCCTGCCCAAACCATAACCGATATTCAATGAAATGCATATTCAATGGAGTCATTGGCTTGAAATCTCTGCACAGTCTACCAATAGCCCTGACTCACATTAAAGGAGGATACTAGAAATAGCAATAATTTGCTTGGTGAAAGTCCTAGATAAAGTCACCAGAAACATGTACCCCATTTTTAATTAAAAATATGTTTATTTATGTTTCAATCGCAAAAACAGTTTCTGTCATCTGAGCTTCGGCCATTATGCATATTCAGCCGGAAGTCATGTGACCTTTCCGCTCGTGACGTCATATGTGACTAGAGTCCGCCATATTGCCAAAGACCAAACGCTACAGTAATACAAATCGTGTTGCTTCTGTCGTTTTTGTAAATGGTACGATGGTGTATTCCGTGGCCTGGGGATGTACGGCATCATTAACAATGGAAAGCGCCGCCATTTCCTCCGTTTTCCAAGTGAAAATACAGATTTAGGCAGGAGAAATGTTCCGATCATTTCGAGTCGGGTGCATGTGAAAGAGACATGCATGCACACATGGGGTATGAAAATCCAAAAGCCAGGCTGAAGAAGGAAGCAGTATGCGCAAGATTCATTTATACTACATCATGCCATGGTACAACTTACCGTCAGTGGTATTTTTTAACATTGATTAAATCAAGTCCGATTGTGATTAAATATATGTTATCAAAATCAGTAACATATTTCACATGAACTTTTACTATAACGTTCGTTCCTGTTTGGAGCCGTAAATACTCAGTCGATCCGAACAATTGGTGCATACAACGGCAAATCAGGAAGTACTTGTTACATTCATTGTTTTCCATTTGGTCCAATTAAGCACGTCGGCGTCAGACTCGCTATTTGCCAGTAGTGTGTGCCGTGAAAGTTGTTCTGTATTCTCATTGGCTGACAAGATGTCATTCTAAGGCTATGACCGAGTACCATAACTATTTCCGTAAGCATACACTAAGGAAATATACATTGTCCTCACTAACATTTCATAATTCACCAATTTTGGAATAACTTATCTGCTTTGTTTATATTATTTCTGCTCGACCATGCTGGGGTCTTGTATGGAGACTTGGTACGTTATTAATGAAACCTAGGATCCCAATTTTTTTCAACAAAATGATTCCTTGAAACAGTGTAATTTTTTAAGCAGACACTTTCTATTTTCCCCTGTCTGAAGCATAATAATTTTTTTATAAATCCCAGACTCCCTGCAGTCACACATTTGACACAAAAGGAACTGCAATCATATTTCAAAGAAATATTTTCTTAGGGACTGGTCATATATTTATAGGGGTGGGTGTGCTGGTTGGAACTGTATCACATTTTGCTGACAAATACTATTCCTGATAAATTATATGGTCTTTTATTTTGACATCAAGCGGTACCTCCGTTTCGCTTGATTCTTCTTCGTCTTTCAGAAGAAGAAGAAGTTTGTCTTGCAAGATGTAAATTCGGAACGTACTGATACGGTCTAACATTCATGTCAGAAATGACGCCAGAAACATATTTTATTGCTTCAGAATCCATGGACACTTTTAAGTTGTGAGGTATAATCAAAGAGAAAGCCATCAGCAACAGGCACATATGACGTCATGTCACGTGATGCCCCCTCTCCTCATTAACTGTGTTTCCGATATAGGCGGAAATACGAGTACGGTTTTTGTGTGTGTATTTTTGAGTTTTCACAAACTTTCTTTCAATTTTGATCACGGATGGTGACGTATATAATTCCTTTACCCCTATGAAAAGTTTGTTTTTCGTTAGTATTCCCTTTTAAAGTTTGACCAGATTCCAAAAGGCCTATAGCCTGACCTCTTTCAGCAAGTGTTAAAAACGTCTCATTTTAAGCTGCGATTTCAAACAGGTACCTGAACAGTGAACGACAGTGAAAAAGCGTCAATGCATGTGTATTGTCCTCCACTCTCCATGGATAGAGCGGCTTACACGTGCAGATCATTGACATTAAGAGGCAGGTGGATTTCCATTTTGACAATTTGAATAAAATAATGTACTATTTGTAACAGAACGTATCGGACGTTAAAGAACGTACGTTATAATGACATTTCAACGGCCCGATGTGTTTTTCCATACTGTTAAGAAAGTTTGTAAAATATTCAGTTGTATATATTTCAAACAAAAACGAAGATTTTACAACTTTTAAGAAATAGTGATACCAATAGCTTGACCCTTCATTAATGACGCCGAGTAATATATATATTTAACTTCTGTTAAGAAATGATATTTAGAGTAAAATTCCATCTGTGCACTAGACGCCAACATAAGTAAGTGAGTGAATTTTGTTTTATGCCGCTTTTAGCAATATTCCAGCAATATCACAGGGGGAACACCAGAAATGGGCTTCACACATTGTACCCATGTGGGGTATCGAACCCGGGTCACTGCTCTTTGTGTTGAAACCATGGAAAAAATGGTCAATGGGACAAAAAGTGTTACTTCACTTGAGTGAAATATCAATATTATATTTTAAATGAAAATAAAAATTCATCAATAAATGCATAATAAATATCTATACCACTCAAAGAAGGTAGAGAACAAACACAATAACCATGACCCACCACCATGACAGATTATCTACAGTGATGCGACAACCAGGTGCTCTTCTTCACTTCTTTCAGCACTATGAGTCTCCACACACACTTGTATTCAGTAACATATTTACCTGTGTCCAAACAATATGAATGGCTTATCCATGTACCGGCTTTTTATAGTATCCATTATGTCTGTGATTATTTTTTCAAGGTCATCACAGCATTTCTCATCAATTCGGGACTCCCTACCAGGGAGGGTAACGCCAACCACTGCAACCAACAAAATAAAACGATGTAATCAATACAAAAATAAGAATTTGTATAGAAAAAAGCATGTATCACATTTTGTTTGTACTCTCATTTCAAGGTTATTTTAAAATAATAGTGATATATAATAATCATATATGGTAAACACCATGAGAGATAACATTATATACTCTCCCAAAAAAGAAACGCATATAGGAATTTCAACTGTATTTTTATGTTTATTTTGAAACATCTTGTAGGCTTTATGAGTCAATGAAACATAGCGAAATTGCACACTGGGAATGCAGACTTATCCGTCTTTGGCACCAACTCGAGGAAAGTCAGTTTGAGTGTCACATGGAGACGTGTGGTGGCGCTGAAGTCAATACCTCGTGTGACCACCGTGGCCATCCAGAACTGCACGGCATCGCCTCCGCATTGAACGAATAAGACTCAGAATCTCGTGCTGCCCGATCGCAGCCCACTCTGCCTGTAGTGCCTGTGCGAGTTGCTGAAGTGTCTGGGGCTCTGGGTTACGGCGTCGCACCCGTCTGTCCAGGGCATCCCACAGATGTTCGATCGGGTTTAAGTCCGATGATCTTGAGGGCCAGGGGAGCACATTGATGTTGTGGTTCTGGAGGATGTCTCTAGTGTGACGTGACGTGCTGTGTGGGGCCTGGCATTGTGGGCGTAGGATTTCGTCACAGTACCGTTGAGCTGTCAGGTTGCCCTGGATCATCAAATCACTTCTCCTACGGCAGGTGATCGCTCCCCACATCATAACACTGTCCCGGCCGAATCTGTCCACCTGGGGAACGCAAGCGTCGGCGAAACGTTCACGACGATGTCTGTACACCCGCATTCTTCCATCGCGTCGTTCCAATAGAAATCGTGATTCATCACTGAACCAGATTCTACGCCAATTCGGTAGGTTCCAGGCCTGAAAGTTGGTTCGCCATTGAACTCGATGTCGACGATGTTGTAGTCGAAGCACAGGGCCAAAATAAGGTCTTCTGGCACGTACGCCAGCCTCTCTCAACCTGTTCCTGACGGTCTGTGCAGAAAGCCTCCTCAATCCGAGTATTTGTCGAGCGGTACTGGTCGCCGTAGCTGTTCGATGACGCAGGTGATGTACCCGGATGTAGCGATCCTGCGCCGCAGTGGTCGCTCGAGGTCGCCCTCTACGAGGGGCATCTGCTACCGCATTCTGCCGGCGATATCTCTCCCAGAGCCGTGAAATGGTGCTTTTGTTGTGATGTTTCAAAACATAAACACCATAGGACTCATAAACAGAGCAAAACCTTTTGTAAAATGAATCACGTTTTAATTCATTGCTACATGAAATTGCTATTTTCATGATGCGTTTCTTTTGGGGAGAGTATATATTGTTCAACACTTCACCAAAGATTATTCCATGATGGCAGTTTGTATGGAATCAGTTTTGGACCAAACAATCTAGTGATTAAGTTTATGAGCAATGATCCATACCATCATGGTCTGATGACTTGCCATCAACCAACTCCCCAAACCTGACAAGTGGATCTGGTTGGTCACCTCCTACAGCCAGCATGAACCTGAGAAGATCCATGTCTGAACTGGTCTTCAGTAACAACAGCATTGGGTGATCACCATCGCCCTCCCTGGTTGATTCATGTCATCATGTCCCAATTGCAGCGACCAATGCCCACGACGTGAATCACTGGTTTATCTGGTCTAGACTTGATTATTTATTCAAATAAATGAACTATTGAGTGCAGCTTTAAACAAATGCCTGGTGACCACCTTTAACCCAGTTTACCTACTTGAACTTGTCTAACTATTCGGCGGGGTAGCCTAGTGGTTAAAGCGTTCGCTCATCACGCCGAAGACCCGGGTTCGATACCCCACATTTGTATAATGTGTGAAGCCCATTTCTGGTGTCCCCGACGTGATATTTGCTGGAATATTGCTAAAAGCGGCGTAAAACTAACCTCACTCACTATCTATCCATGATAAACCCTGACAAATCAAAACAACTGCTTGGTGACTTCTTCGAGTGGCATAATTAGAAGTTGGTGAATCAGATAAGGAGAAACTTATGGATGAACAACTTCGTAACTTATACTTGCTTGACAACGATACAAGAACCTGTATCGAAACGTTGCATCACGAATAAAGAAGTTGTTCATCCTTAACTGGTTGGTGGTCAGCTGACAGACAAATGCATGCGAAGAACAAGGGTATTACCTTCTATATTTTCGGACATTAATCTGCCCCAACCGGCATAGAAGATTGATCCCCCACCTCCCCAGGGTAGACAGATCAGCCTAACGTGGGCATTGGGTCTCTTGAAGCGACAGTTCATCAGCCTCTCTGAAGCCATCTTTGATGCAGACTGAAATAAAACCATATTTTAGTCAGTGATTTTATTGTGTATGTCATTGTTCTATGACAAATTGTTTTTGTTAAACAATGCAATACTGTTTTCGTAGTTAGACGTAGGTTTGGGTAAAAATATGTATTTTGAATCCAATAAATGTTTACTGAGTGTCACTGACTAATTTAAAATGGTCTAATACAGGGCAACAGATAAGGGGCGTACAGGCGTAATGTACGCCTAAAAACAATGAAGTACGACATAATATAACACTTCAAGCGTATCATGTACGCACATAAATACCTTTGTAAGTCTTACATATATAAAGTTTCATAGCTGAAAAGTTGTTTAGTATTAAAAATAACAAACCACATCACCAACTCGCTCCCACAAAAACATGTCAGTACTCCTTCAAAATTCTCAGTACACCTCCACTTGCAATATGAGGTGTAAGTACACCCGCGTCCAAAAACATTATCTGGAGCCCTGTAATAGTTTACTGAAATTTATGCATAATTTTAAATAAATGCATCTTTTTGTGAAATTCATTCTCTTAAAGTCCACCACCAACGACTTACCGTGTATCCCAGAACGCACAACGCCAGTCACTACCTCCAACTGAACAGAGAGCAACTCGTAGACCACAGAATATTTCATTAAAGTTATTGGCTAGGTGTAATTAAAACATATTTATTTTTTCAATATCCGGTGCATACAAAACACAAAAGTCAATATTATTAACATAACTATTAACCGGTAAGGTTCATAATATATTATTAGGTTCTTTTTATTTCCCAACTCTCGAATAACAGTTTGGCAACCATATCGTGTTTAATATTTGATCACTAGAATAGTGAAATGTGCTGTTGGCAAATATATATGACCCGAAACAGCTGTACCTGGGCGATGGGGGGAGCCTAATGGTTAAAAAGGGGCACTGACCCAGAGCGACTCATGTTTCGCGTCAACATATTTATTGCCTGGCCCAACTGCCAGAGGGCACCACCTGCTCCCTCGACCGTGACGGACACAAGAGTGAGTGAGTGAGTTTAGTTTTACGTCGCACTCAGCAATATCCCAGCTATATGGCGGCGGTCTGTAAATAATCGAATCTGGACCAGACAATCCAGTGATCAACAGAATGAGCATCGATCTGCGCAATTGGGAACCGATGACATGTGTCAACCAAGTCAGCGAAACTGACCACCCGATCCCGTTAGTCGCCTCTTACGACAAGCATAGTCGCCTTTTATTGCAAGCACATGGGTTGCTGAAGACCTATTCTACCCCGGATCTTCACGGGTCGGCGGACACAAGAGACTGGACGGATACAGGAAAGGTCAAAGGAAAAATGTCACGGATAAAAAGTCATGGAAAAATGTCACAATGCAATAATATTTATTAGTGGGTTGTAAAAATGTTAAAAAAAACTCTATCTAATTGTTTCTTGATTAAATCAATTACTTTGTATATTACTTATGCTTTGTTGACAGAATAGTTACTGGGGGGGCTTGTGTGATGATTGTCTGTTTACGGCAAGTATACCGTGTTTTGTTAATAAAGTGGTCTTGCAAATGTTTTCAAATTATTATTGGATGGAACTCATTGAATGTAATGAAATTGGTTATTGTCACCTTTTCACCTGTGACTTGTTTTTCTAGCCAGAATAGTGGCTTTTTTTCTGTGACTTATTTTCCTGTGATCTTCTTTCCGATCATCAACTGGATAGCTGTCTACCTTGGCAGAATTTCTTCAACCGAAACAATGAGACAATAAGAACGGTGGGTGCCCATCAGATGCCGTTATTTGAAAGTATCCCCTTTAGTTCTAGTCTGATTGTAATAAAGTATTCTTGCATTGTAAGCTTTTTCGGATTTTGTAATGCGTGGATGGTATAATGCCTGATCCAATTTGATCCTATTTCTGTTTTTAACTCGATATTTAATCGAGCTATGTAACAATGTGATGTCTAATGACATATTATCTTAAAAGACACATGTTTGATTTATTTGAATCCGTACTTTGAGGTACTGCAAAGAAATCATGTTTAACAATGTTGAGGAAATCTAATGTAAGACACACATGAGGCCAGTGATACACTAAAACAACATGGTAATTGATGTCATACAAACATAAGGAAGGGAGGCCAGTGGGCTGATGTGGTGATAAACATAGGTGATGCAAACAGAGTGAGTGAGTGAGTGAGTTTGGTTTTACGCCGCTTTTAGCAATATTCCAGCAATATCACGGCGGGGACACCAGAAATGGGCTTCACGCATTGTACCCATGTGGGGAATCGAACTCGGGTCTTCGGCGTGACGAGCGTACGCTTTAACCACTAGGCTACCCCACCGCCCTGATGCAAACAGAGGGCTGTTGGCTTATGAAGAATGGGTATTTAGATAAGAGTCCCAAGCACATGGTAAGTAGATTCCTTGATCACGGTTGATTGCCGGCTGTTGTCTCCGTATGTCTATGACTTCCTGAAGCTTCCTTTGACGCCAGTTGTTGGTGGTGGTGGACAGTACTTTGGTGGCTTCCCATTTGATGGTGTGGTCCCTGTTCTTGAGGTTATGTTCCGATATGTCCTTTAGATGTTCTAGTTCATGGCTGAGGGAAAACGCTGCAACCTCTCAACACAAGACTCAAGGAACACCAAGCCTCCGTCAACGAGCTCGACCGGAAGTCCGCCATAAATCTTGCTTTCTTTGGTAAATAGGTATGTACAGTTTTTAACTTTAGGACACAGCTAATGCTGTATTTCTTATGCAGCAATGAAGTGTCGTAATTATTTGTGATTATAATAATTAGTCGTGCGTCATATGTGATTTAGATCTACTGTAATTAGTTGTGGGAGAATGTTACAGTAATGGTCGCCATGTGTTGCGAATCAGTGGTTTGACTGAGAGGTCAAAAAGAGAGTTTAAAGTCATTAACCGAGTCGCCCAACCAAAATCTTTAGAAATACAACAACTTGTGTGTTCACTAGAATGATAAATACACAGATTCGAATATAGATTGGCTTTGTTGTTCTGGGAAGACTTGGTTAGATTGAAAACATATTTCTTTTAGCGTTCAACAAAATCTTTCCACTTCAATATTTTCGCTGTGAAGTTTTTCGATGCGAGACAGATAACACGCACTAAGTCGCACAAGTGTGTGTTTCAAACATGATTCACCTAAAATATCTAGATAATACAGTCATTTTATGAATTCACTTAAACCAGATCGTGTACTTCTCAATGAAGTTCCAAAGTGCACACAAATGTAATAATGAATTAATTATGCTAGGATTAAAAGGCAAAAATATAAAGACGTACATTGACTTCGTTTTCTGTCAATGCTATCATGTTTAAACTTCAAAATGATTTCAATTTTTACCATGATAATGAAGATGGACATATTACTGGGTTAACAGGATAACTACATTTCCCTATTTCATCTTTGTTGATCAATGTAAGGATACGCCCTTACAGGTTCTACTACACTAAATCAGAATCACTTGTAAACTTCTGGCCAGATAGAGACATGTGACAGCCGTGATTGGATGAAATAGTGTAAGATTTTTTGGTTGTTTAAAAGCACATCCATCCAGTAATTAAAACTGACCACAATTTTAAGTATTTAATGCAGTCATTTTTATCGCCATGATTTGATGTGTTCAGCTTCCTGTGCTCGGAAAATAGGCAGGATAAGTTAGCTGGAATTTGTGTTTTTATTGTAGTTTAAAGGCCAGACTGTACCCATGTGTACATGGAATGGCTGTTGACAGCCTGGGTGATTTTAGAAAAAAATATAACGTTACTATAAAAGTCAATGGGAAAACAATGGGTTTTGTGTAACCTGTGTACTACCAATTGTGCTTGCACTTGCAGGTGGCGCAGCAGAGATCGCAACCCACTCAAGAACTCTGGGATATCATCCGGGTAGTTGCGGGGGAACAACAACAACCGGGGAATTGCTCTGGATCAGTGCCCCTAGGGACACAGGAACCCGTTATCGCTATGTAGGTTAAACATAGACCATAGATCTACAGACACGTCATATAGATGAATAAAGTAAAGGAGCAGCGGCTGCCATCTTAAATTGCCGTGCCGAGGTCGACGCGTTCCGATTTCAGGCCGAAATTTACCCTAAGAATTCGGTGACATTCAAAGCTATACACACGTACCACTCAATTATACATTTCCCCACTCCATTTATATATATGACGTGTGTGTATATCTATGGTCTATGTTTAACATACATAGCGTTAACGAGTTTGGAATTTTGTAATATAGAATATTAAAAAGTATGCTTAAAAATTATGTGTGTGTGTGTGTGTGTGTGTGTCATTGCTTTTGTACATGACATGCAGGGGGCACTTATTTTGTACATATATTTTTCACATTGTACCTGAAACTCCGTAAAAATCATCATCACCCTCCAACTATAATTTATGAACGGTCCCTTAAAGCGTCTGCTCGTCACACTGAAGACCCGGGTTCGATTCCCCACATGGGTATAATGTGAGAAGCCCATTTCTAGTGTACCCCGCCGTTATATTGCTAAAAGTGGCGTAAACAAATACTCACTGTCTGTACCTGACCCACACAAGGAAACGTTCAGTGGAAGAAGGGGGGTAACTCTGATTCACAGTCAATGCATAGGCGCGCGTCTTGAAAGGACTTCAAGAACGAGGTGTGTTGACATGGTCGAGGCCGCCCTGGACATCGCGACAGCTTTTTCACCGCATTTTTACAGCTGATTCAGAGGAGAAAAACAAACATACACAGCCTTCTTATAACCCGAGAATAATATTAGCTGGTAGATCAAGCTGCGACATTAAAGCTATGTCCACGAGTGAAGTTAGAACGAGTTGATTTACTGTCTTCTTTAATTTTCAAAATGCACCGACAGCGAACGAAATTGGCCAAATCCAAAATTACGCTCCAAATGTCTTTTGACTAAGTGTAATCCCGATTGAACTATATAGTTTTGTAATTAGATGGTTATGGTATTTAGCTGTCGAAGTGCCAGATGCGCATCTTATTCCATGTAAGACCGTTGCTTTTTGAAAGAATCTTTTACAGTGGCACCCCGTTCATTCGAACCGGAGATGTCTGGAAACATCGAATAAAAGAGGATATTAACGTCAAACGAAATAAATACCCTTTAAAATGCTTCGTCCATCCGGGGGCGGTGGGGTAGCCTAGTGGTTAAAGCGTTTGCTCGTCCCGCCAAAGACCCGGGTTCGATTCCCCACATGGGTACAATGTGTGCAGCCCATTTCTGATGTTCCCTGTCGTGATATTGCTGGAATATTGCTAAAGGCGGCGTAAAACCATACTCACTCACTCATTCTTCTATCCGGAAATCCGGACTGTGAGTTTCAATTATCAACAGCGCAATATACACATCCTTGTGTGCAACCTTCCGGATGCGACCACGCTGGATCTTGACTATGTATTGCGATAAGTAGATTACAGATAACTTCTTTGAGTTCTTTAGAAGTTGGGAAGCATAATATAGTGAGTGCGTTTAGCTTTACGCCGCACTCAGCAATATTCCAGCTATATGGCGGCGGTCTGTAAATAGTCGAGTCTGGACCAGACAATCCAGTGATCAACAGCATGAGCATCGATCTGCGCAATTGGGAACCGATGACATGTGTCAACCAAGTCAGCGAGCCTGACCATCCGATCCCGTTAGTCGCCTTTTACGACAAGCATAATCGCCTTTTGTGGCAAGCATGGGTTGCTGAAGACCTATTCTACCCCGGATCTTCACGGGTCGGAAGCATAATATAGACATGACTAAAAGTTAAAAGTTGTTATCAATAAGGCTTGTCTATGACGGTTACAGATAAGAGGAAGAAGTACATAGCTGCTAGATTTAATACCCAGATAAATGAGAGGGTTCTAATTTACCTCCCACCAAGCTCTTTATATGAATTTTTATTTATTTGTTCATTGTTGTTTCTTTTGGTTTGGGTTCATTCACATTTACTTTGTTGGAGTTTATTTATT